TTTTTTTAGTATAATGCAATTGATACAAATCCTTTGGGTACATACATTATGCATCCATTTTGGAACGCATTAATTAAAGTAAGTGTTATGATTATTAATAAAGTAATGTGTTATACAATTTAAACTGTTATAGGTACTTAACAAAACAAATTAGTGTTAATGATTTAAAATATTGGTTATTTAACATTTTTTTTTWAAATTATAGGTTACTCCAAGATGGATTGCACCAAACTTACTAACATTTGTTGGTTTTCTGTTTACTGTTGGAGCTTCACTTCTCCTTGCTTATTATGACTATGGTTTTTATGTGTCTGGAATAAATTATAAAGGTGATCCAATACCAAGATGGGTTTTTGGCGTTGTGTCTTTATTTATTTTCATTTCATACTCTCTTGGTATTTATATTTAATATTTTTAAGAATTATGATCAAAACTATAATTATTTAAAAAAAAAATTAGATGGTCTTGATGGTAAACAGGCTAGACGTACAGGCACAAGTGGTCCACTAGGTGAACTGTTTGACCACGGTTTGGATTCCTGGACAACTGTTTTTATTCCAACTGCACTTTATTCAATATTTGGACGTGATGATCCGAATACTATTCAACCAATAAGGATGTATTACATTTGTATAATGGTTTTCATTAATTTTTATCTTGCTCATTGGGAAAAGTATAATACTGGAGTATTATATTTGCCATGGAGTTATGACTTTTCAATGGTTGTAAGTTGAATTTAAATTAAATTGTTGTACCTTTATTGTTTTATAAATCTTACTGTTTTCTTATTCATATTATGTTATTTTAATAATGAGTATATTTTTTTATCTTTTATAGTAAAATACAGTAGAAACCTGTATTGAGTTTTATTTTTAGCTGTCTGTTCCTAGAAATTTTGTTTCATTAATATGATTAATTATTAATACAATTATCCATGTTCTTTATGAGCGGCTTCTACTGTATATCAAATTTCTAAATCTCAAAATTTTGATTTTTCATAAAATGTTATTTCATTTTAGATTTTGTGTGAGTCAAAATATAATTTTTTTTTCTGACCGTCATCGCTTTATGGAAAAGTAAAAATACATTGATTTTTAACTTTGAAGGTAGTTTATGCTAGCAAATTCATTCTAGTTATATAAACAATATCTCATTAAAAAATCACTGTATTTATTCAAAAATTAATAACTGTATAAAACACTTGAAATGTTCACAAAATATTTATATTAGAGTTTTATGAACATGATGATATTTTAATTTTGGGCTATGTATTGAAATTTTCTATAACAGGCAGTAAAAAGTTTTGCTCAGTCAAGAACCTTGGAAATTGAATATAAGGTTCCTGATAAGTTTTTTTTTATTGCCATTTACATATATTAAAAATACATAAGCACAATATATTTTCACAAGCATTTAAAGTTAAATTTTGTTAGAAATTAAATAATTAAACAAAGAATAAAGATTTCAGTTGTTTAGTTAGTGTAATTTAATATTATTATTTGTGGATATTATATTTATTATTATATACAATACATATGAAGGCATTTAAATTCAATGTTTATCACACAAATTAATTCAATCTACCATATTGTTACTAATAAAAAAAAAATTACTTTAATAACAATATAATTGTAGTATTATATTAAGACTTACTTAAGATGCTTTCCTGCATAAGACTGTTTACTATGATACTAGTTAGTGCCTGCAGAAGGCACTCATTTGAACTTGTTCTGTGAAGAGCGTCAAAAGTGATTTTTACTGTTTTTATGTTKAGTGAATAAGGATAATTTTTGTTTGAAATGATTTATTATTGAACTAAAATTTCATACACATATTATAGTGACTTACTCAAATATACCTACTATACATATGAGCAGTTACCTATTTTCCTCTTTTTTAAATCATAAATGTATTATATTTTTTTTTTAGGGATTAGTGTTCTTCTTCGGACTTACTGCTATTTTTGGTCCAGAAAAATGGAAAATGTCATTGATAAATAATTATTCCTTTGGACATGTCACGGAAATAACATTTTACTTTACCACTTTCATTACAAATATTCCAGTCTCAATTTATAATATTTATATGTAAGTAGTAAAAATTAATTTCTTTGAATTTGTTGATAGTTCATTTGTGATTAATATTTAATTTTTTTTTATAGAAGTTACAGGGATAAAACAGGCAAAAATTTAAGTATCCTAGAAGGTAGTCGACCATTAGTCCCTTTAACTGTATTTGTGTCTTTATGCTTAATATGGGTAAAAATGTCACCAACAAATATTCTTGAAAGGGATCCAAGAATATTTTTTATGATGAGTGGAGCAATATTTTCAAATATTTGTGTAAGTAAAACATAAGCTGTTTTAAATTAGTTATTTATTATGCCATATATTAAGCTAATTACACTTGACGGGATTTTTTTGTCAGTGAACCATGTTTGTTGAAGCAAATTATTTTGTTTGTATATACACAATGTTTTTTTTATCTTTATTTGATGATTATTTAAATTATCTTAAATTATCTACCAAGGGTCATTTGACTCATGGCTAAATACACTGGTATATTCTCAACTTGTTTCTACGAATCTGTGCTACATCATGCTGTTTGCTTATGAGTATTGTCCACTGAAAAACAATGACAAGCTTACATTATAAATTAACTGAGTTATAATACAAACACACCCTTGCAGACTATACAATATTTTGCTCAAGTTTCGATCATACTAGTGTATTAATCCATAATTTGACGTATATTTTACCTATTTTAGATACTGAACATGGTACAAAAATTAAACTTCTTAGTTTTCGTTTCATTTTGGTATATGATATACATTTTTCATTTAAAACTGGAGTACAGTATACAATATCTATGTACATTGTTGGAACTACACCGAACAATGTTCATTAATGAATCAAATTATAGTCTTTTACCAGTTTTTAACTTAGTTGATTGTACAGTACAGTTTTATTGATAATTATTTTTAATAATTACAGTGTCGTTTGATTGTGGCTCAAATGAGCAAGACCCGATGTGAAGCACATAACAATTTGTTGTCGTTTATGATTGTAGCTATATTATTTAGTGTGTTTTTACCTCCCATTGAGTTAATTTGTATGTACATTATGGCATTGATAAGCATTGTGACACACATATACTATGGAGGCTGTGTTGTAAGTATTCTTGCATAATTTTCACTAATAATTTATCTGATTATTACTGAATAAATTAAATCATGTAGGGTCACAATTTTTAACTTATGTTACATATKTATTTTAGGTGAAACAAATGGCTGATCATTTTAAAATCAAGTGTTTCAAAATACCATATAAGAAACATTAAATATAATATATTATGAAAATAATACTTATTTATTATATATTAATTTTTATTAATTACTTAAATCAACATTAATATTCATGAAATAGTTGTTACTAACTGTTATTAGTTTTTAAAATCTCATTACGGATTTGCCATTCAGATGAAGTACTATTATTTTTTTATATTTTTAGAATTGTTTTATAAATGTTTTGTACACAAGTTATTAATATTAATAACACTTGTTGAAAATTGGTGTTGTACATTATATCTTACTAGTTGTACTAATTCAATTTTTTTTTCTATATCATAGCTTTAAAGTGTATAAACTAATTTACCTTTGAATTAAATTAATTCGGGGTATTGAACAGTAAATACTACTCAATAAGATATTGGCAGTTATCTAATTACCTTTTTATTGTTATATTATTCTACTTTAAACGTTTAATATTAAATAACCTTAATGGGTACTTATTTTTTTTAAATGGGTTGTATTCTATAATTAGGTATAGCATTTATGTAATAATAATTACAAATAAATTAAGGTTATTAAGGTATCCATAATATAGTTATTATAATATAATTAAAATATATGTTAGAATAATTTGTTATTTTGTAATTAATTGAATTATTTGACCTAATTATACACTATGAGTAATATATTAGACAATAATTTAATTAATATCATGAATAACTTGACAGCCTGAGTTTATATTTATATTATTTTTTTGTTTTTTATTTTTTAACTTGTGTGTGATAAAAAAGATCAATTAGTAAATTTATGATTACATATGTTATTACAATATTGAATATATTATAAATACCTATAATATATGATTCTATGAAATATTATTAATATTGTTTGTACTTTGTGCCAAATCTAAAAATTATGTTRAAGTGGTATAATAAAATATAAGCGCCAGCCACCTCTAAAAGTTACCAAAAATTCACGGTTCAATAATAATTGCACTTTAAAGACATAATATTCATACAAAGAGTTATTAATTTTAAATCAATTATGAAATAAAGACGTCATGGAATTACACATAAAATKTATTATTTTTATAAAATAAAAACTGTAGTTTGCTCATTAAATAGACAATAATTAGTTACAGCTGCTAAAGACGCTTAGATTTTCAACTTCATAGTGTAGTGTATGTGCCAAATTTAAATTCAATGACAAATCATRACATAATAATATGAATAATTATTCTAAGACTGTCGGTTAGCCTATGTTGCTAAGTACCTGAATTTATTGATGTATTTATGTTGATATTAAAGTAATTTGTTTTAGTATTATTAAGATAAAAATATATACAATGTCATCAAGTGATAAATAAGAAACAGTTTATTTAAAATTTGGTTTGTTTCAGGGAAATAATATAAAAATTTAATTTACCAACCCAGTGGCGGACAGAATGACCGGGATACCGGGAAATTTCCTGGTGGGCCGTTGCTGGTATAAAATATATGTTTATTAATATTATAATGGTATGATTATAAATTAAAATATTATCTATTAAGTAATAATTATTTAATATAAAATATTTTTATTTTTTTTTATTAAACGAAATATACCCTCGGCGACATAGGCCATTGGGTTAAAAAATTTTAGTTACATTGGGTTGATATTACATTGACAACTATATTATTTTACAATGTTCATATTTTATTTTGTAGTTCTGTGATGAACTTGATGGTAGCTGAAAGTAAAGAACTGTTTTGACCAAGTGATTAACATAGAATATTATTAAACATAAAAACCTAGATTTCTGATTAGGTATTTTAAAATGTGGAACCGGCTTGTGTTCGGCCAAACCAAGCTTGTTCACAACTTATTGTTACAAGTTTAAAAAGTGAATGTCATTCTGCTGTACAGTAGGTTACAAGTAGGTCATTTTAATGGATGGTATTCAATTTGAATTCAATGAAATAATATTATTGTATACAAAAAACGATTCTGAGAGGGTATATCTATTATATTACTATAGGTAGGCATATTTTTAAATTACAACAAAATAACCAAAATCGATATTATTGGATTTAATATGAAGTTTTGTCAAAATTTGAATTTAAAATGTCTATGAAATAACTGTGTTTATATATTTTTTAGATTTGTTGGTTATAATATATGAAATATTTATGAGAATCTTTGTTTTAAATTTTCAATCCTTAGTTATAAAAACTGAACATTTCATAATTTTTTAATTCCAATGATTGATAATTTTCAAGATTTTGATACATTTTGTCCTTACTTTAAAATCTTATAAAAAAAATATATGCCTATGCATTTTTAATATCTTTCAACCACTACTGTAACAATATATGAGGAGACTTTCATTACCTTTTCACGCTTTTAGGGTTAGCAAATACAATTTTATTGACATTTATGGAAAAAAAACTAAAAAACATGAAATTTTAAATTGTCTGTAAACAAGTCAAAACAGTCATTTGTTTTAGAGTTACATCAAATATAAAAATAATTTTTCTTTTGTTTTTCACGGCACTTTTGAAAACTACCAATTAGATTCACTTTCCTATCAGAAAAGATACTGTTGAAAAAAATCTAAGCATTTTTACTGTGCTAAAAGGTGACGACAGACACACACACAAAAAAAAAACACATCATCGTAAAAACAATACATTCATCGCTCCGCTCAGAATCTAAAATAATTATTGGGTACATTGACCTTTAAAGCATCTACAAGATACACAAAAAGTCAAAAAATATATTATATATTTAAAAGGCTGTTAGTATATTGAGGGCCTCTACAATTATGATTTTCTCGTTTTTCTCAGTCCACCACTGTGCCAACCTGTATAAGATTTTTAACTATATGTACCTTACCTATGTTGGTATATTATGTGCAATATTTATATTAAATATGACAATAGTTATCAACACATTGATAKTATGATCCAAGACTTAAATAACTGTATTTAGTTTATATCTACTTATATTTCAATATTTAATTTATTTGTTTAAAAATTAAGAAATAAACTAAGTTTACTTTTTATTGTTAAAAAGTAGGTAGGTATTACTTTTTAATTTTCAATAACTAAACTAAAATTAATTTTAATGAAATCTTATTTAGGTGTTATGTATCAAATTATTTTAGTCCTTATTTTAGACGTAACCTAACCTTGGAGTGAACTAAATTTAATTGAAAAGTCAAAAGGTTTGTGATTCGTCACTTGAAGCATGGAACACTCATCGGGTCTCATCCAAAAAATATTTTCCATTTTCAATTAAATTTAGTTCAAAATATTAAAATGATAAAATTAAAAACTAAAAAATTATTTTAATAAAAGTTATTATAGTTTCGTGATAAGCGAACTGCAACTGCTGTGATAGCRTAAGACTGATAAAAGGCGCTGTCTCTAGACGCTTGTTTCTCAATTCTCAAATCAAGAATTCAAGATCCTCGAAAAGAGATTAGTCATTAGATTATCTACAGTAAATAGTTCTGATGATTAAATATTAATTTTCTACTATAATCTTATTGTAATTATTAATTTGTGATATTGTTTAGGATAACGAATGGCGAATTTCAAAAAATAATTTTCGTCTGCTATTGYATATTAACAAATAACAGTGTTAAATATTTTCGATTCAACTGGTAAACGTGAAGTAGGTTTAGTATTGACCTTTAGTCCGTTTTTTTAGTTGACCGCTAGTCAACACGATGGCTAGCACCACCGTAAAGTTTTCGGCCTCTTTAAGTAAAACCGATCCGATTAGTGTACCAGTGCTAATTGTAGGTCAAGAGAAACACTTGTCTAGTTTATCTTACTCTGCAGTCAAGTGTAAGTTAGAACCGCGGGTTAACGAACAGGTGAGAATAAAGTTTGAGAGATGTTTTAAAATATATTACATTCTAAAGTAAGTTTATATGTTTTTAGACTTTCAAATCTGCTTTGTCTGTATTGAATCCTTGTCCAACAGACACTTGTCCACTTTTTCTCAACACTGCCACTTTAGCAGCCATTTCCAACAATCATAGTCGTCATAATTCATCAGCACAACCCCATATGCTTACAAAACTGATCAATTTGAATTCAGCTGGATATAATGAATGCATTGTGGTTAGTGAACAATAGTACAAATTTCATTTGTTTTATTRAAAATTATCGATTTTAAAGTACTTAATGTAAAAAATTATTGTTAGATTGTTTGCGAGCGAAAAGACATGTTTGCCTCAGGTTGTGCTGCAGCTCGRGCGTTCTATGACTATTGTCGCAAAACTAAAATATATGTTGGTAAACTTAAAGAACAGAAAAAAGCTACTGTAACGGTTACAATAGAGTTTATAATAATTCCTGACAGTAATGGTGATCATAAGGTGGAAAAAGAAGAAATAGCTACATTGGAAAGAATAGCTAATGCTATTAAAATGACAGCACGTATTGTTGATACTCCATGTAATGACATGAATGTCAATCATTTCTTAGATGCAAGTCAAACATAATGGTTGAATACATGGGATATTTTTAATTTTGTATACAATTTTTAGGAGATAAGACATGTAGGAGCTGACTTGAATATTAACCCTACAATAATAAGTGGCGAAGAGTTGAAAAAAAAAGGACTTGGAGGAATATATGGTGTCGGTAGAGCATCTTCTGTTGGTCCAGCTCTAGCTATATTATCTTACACCCCACATGGAGCTACAGAAACAATTGCTTGGGTTGGCAAAGGCATTGTCTATGATACTGGTGGTCTTAGCATCAAAGGAAAGGTATTATATATTTTTTAATACACATAAAAGAAAAAAGTAATTTTTTAACTAAACATTTTCAGTCAGCTATGCCAGGCATGAAACGAGATTGTGCTGGAGCAGCTGCTATTTTAGGAGCATTCCAAGCTATAGTGAAGTCTAGTTTTAAACAAAATCTGCATGCTGTTTTTTGTTTGGCTGAAAATTCTGTTGGACCAAATTCTACACGTCCAGATGACATACATACACTTTATTCAGGAAGGTTAGCTTTGTATTATTATCTTTCATTTATATAATAACAATAGTAATTATGAATTAATTATATATATTTATATTTAACAATAAATATTTTATTTTAGAACTGTTGAAATCAATAATACTGATGCTGAAGGACGTCTGGTTTTATCAGATGGGGTAGTGTATGCATCTCGAGATTTAAATGCTAAAGTGATATTAGACATGGCTACACTAACTGGTGCACAGGTATATTTAAACATAATTTTCAATTGAGTGTTGAATTATTAAATATTTTTGTTTTAGGCAATTAGCACGGGAAAGTATCATGCTGCAGTAATGTCTAACTCGGAACAATGGGAAAAAAATGTAGTATCTGCTGGTCTAATATCAGGAGATTTAACATTTCCAATTGTCTACTGTCCAGAACTTCATTTCTGTGAATTTTCATCATCTGTAGCTGATATGAAAAATTCTGTCGCTGTAAAATTAAATCTATTATTATTAATTAAATACTAAATTAATATTTTCTTATTTTTTAGGATCGATCGAATGCTACTTCATCATGTGCCGGACTGTTTATAGCTGCTCATCTTGGCTTTGATACGACTAATCAATGGATTCATGTGGACATTGCTGGGCCTTCTCATTATGTAAATATGATTATAGTGATAATCACAGTTGAATGACTTATTTGATTAATGACCTCAACAGACTTGACAGAGGCTGTTCCCAATTTAAATCTACAAACATATTTAAAAAAAAGTCTATTTGACTTACTACAACACTGAATAAGTATTGAGTCAACAAGTATTTTCATATCAAATTTTCAAATTTGTTAGTACATTTTCCTGATTTTATCTCTTACTATATTTTTACGACCAACATTTACTCGGATCATAACATCAARGAGTATAAACATTTTTGAAGATAATTTTTTACTTAATTTGTCATTGCCAATTTATGAAATGTTTAAAAAAAAAATTTATCATTTCAAATGTTTTACTTATATGAAATTCAAAATATATAATATAAAAATACACAGAGGCATAAACTAATTTGAATTATGGGAGAGGGGGAGCAAAACAAAAGTATTCAATACCAACTTATTAAAAAAATTTTGCTGCGCTTACACAATATATACAATATACATAATAATTACAACTTTACTCTAAAAATAAAAACATAGATTGGAATAATAAACGTCAATTTTAATTATTAATAATAAACATTATCAAATAAAAATATAATATATAATTTACTTTGTGATATAAATAGTATCCTCCAAATTTTTTTTAAAGAATTACCATTAAAATGAGAATGCATTTTCAAAAAAGGAGTAGTTATAAATTAAACTGATACCTCATTTTTCTGTCAAATTTATGTTTATATATTATATTGTTGGATTTTAATTTAATCATAAAAAATGTATTAAATATTTTTATACCAAATGTTCAATGTTGATGAAAAGAGGGTATCCCTGCCTGCTCCCCTAGATTTGCACCTCTGGAAATACATAATATTTATAAGTACATAGCCAAGTTACATTTCATATGAAAATTCATAAGTAACTTTATTATTAGACCTCTTGTTTCATTGACTCATTCAGTTAAAGGAATCAAATGCTTTGGTTCCAAAGTGAGTCCAATAAGTAGTGTCTATTGTATTTATTATTTTTAAAGAATATATTAATTGAACTTAAATTAACTTGATGTTTAATTACATATTTAGATATTGGTATTGTATACCAGTAACTCAATTATTTTCCATACACTCGATTGTTAAAATTGAAAGACGGGTATTTACTTCCTCATGTTCCTTCAAAATAATGGGTTTAGTAGAAATTGAAGTGTAAGAGTGCTATAAAATTAAGATAATGAGAAAATATTTATTTTTATAATGTCCATTTAATATGTCAGATATTGATTTAAATTCAATATATTCTATCTAAAATAATTTGTTTTTATTTTAAAGAAATCTTTATCTTATTGTACATTTTTACACATMTCTGCTTATTTGCCAGTTAAAAATACTTCCCATCTTCAAATTTAATTTTAAGTTCAGAAAACCATAATTTTATGATTCTTTTTTTAAATATTGATTTCTACTTTCAATTGTAAAATCAGATGGTTAGATTTGTATTACCTATTTGTTTAACTTTTCCATTCATTCTGTAACTGAAGTATTAGGTAAAATAATAAATACTGTAAAATATACAGTTCTATTTATATCCAAGAAMAACTGAATAAATTCAGAATTATAAATACTTAAAGACACCAAATTTTCTATTTTAATTTATGGTAGTCTGAAATGACCCATAGATTTTATTTACCTATTTTTTTATGTGTACTTTTTTTTATAGGGTGAAAGAGCAACTGGTTACGGAGTTGCACTTTTGACRGCACTTTTTGCCAAGTATACAAACGATCTTCTATTGCAAAATGTTTCCAAACATATTGAATACTCTTAAGTCATATTATAAATGTCTACCTACTTCAAGGAAATTCATGTTAATCAAATTTTAAAAATTGATATTTTTGTAATCTTTCTGTATTTTTTTGTGCATGTGCCATAACTTTTTAACAACATTTTCTTTAAATTAATAAAATAAAAWATGAAATCTGTTCAAAATGTATTTTTGTTTATTTTATTAAAATTGAAACTGTATAAAATATTTTAATGGTAATATATATATTTACTATTATAATTAATAATTCGTGTATAACAATAATAAAATTATTGATAGATTAAAAATATCACATTAAAACAGTATTATAAAACCAAAGTGTCAGAAGAAGGAACAGACAAACTAATCATATAATTTAAATATTACATTTTATATTATATTTCAGCATAAATTATTGATTATGCTGATCGCCTCTCGAGACAAAAAAAAAAATAATAATAATACTAATAATGGCTTAATTTAAATTTTCAAGCCAAATACCATGTTTAAAAATTGTTCATAATGAATAGTGATATATCCATCTTGATCAGTATCAAATTGACGGAATGCAGCAGTTAAGGTCTGTGGATACAAATTTAAGGTATAAAAAWAATTATTAATATAACGATGAAGATAAAATACACTGAAATAGTTAATAGGATAGAAGTGAATGTATCTAAAAAAATAATAATACATACATGTAATACAACACAGCATTGTATGAAGTCATCAAAAAGTATAGTGCCACGACCAAAGCGGTCAAATCTCTTGAGCATAACTGATACAATCTGTTCACCGAGTCTATAACCAAATGATGATAGGGCGTCTTTTAGTTCTGTCACATTTATATTGCCAGAGCCATCACGGTCAAATGATCGAAAGCACGATTGCCAATCAGTTACGTACTTCCATAAGGCGCCAAAGTCATCAAAAGATACAGTACCTCGATTATGCTTGTCAAACATGCCTATCATAAGACGTACTGTTTCTGGATTAAATGGGGTCCACGTTCCATTGGAAAGCGCCATTTGCAGTTCATCAGACGAGATGAATCCACTCCTGTCTTTGTCAACCCTAAGTCACAATATCGTTATAACTTGACAAATATTATTAATATAATTATTTTGACTTACCTCTGAAACACGTCCCACAAGAACTCTCTGGATGGCATCGGTGACGAGAAATTCGCCATTTTAGACTGAAAAAACACTGGGCATTAGAAAAATACTACAAATAGTCCAGGTGAAACTTTTAGCTTAAATATTATATGTTTTCATGATTCATGACTCACCAATAACGCCTTAACCTYTGTTAAATATTAATGGCTCAATAATCAATATTATAAAGTGTTGAGTGTTTATTGTAGTCGATAAATTTTATGCTACCGATCTCAAATTCTGAACGATAAGAATGAGTAATATTATATTATTTATTATTCTTTGATAATACCTTACGTGCACGGCAATCGCATTATAAGAATAATAATATTATTATGTCGGTTAACCATAATATCATAATTTGTGATGAATTGATAACGATAGAATGTCGCTGACTGCAACTAGACTCAAGTAACTACCTGCTACAATTCATGATATTACAACTACAGTATCACCGGTGACCACAGAATAATTATAATTGGTAATTAATTATCTTAAGTTCGTCATTATTATATAATACACGTGGAGTACGTACGTACATTCTTCATTTCGATAATAAAGTACGTTTTATATTTATGACAAAGATACCATAGACGATAGACCTTATAGTATTTGACTACAGTGGCGTACTTAGAGTTTTCGAATTTGAAATTTTTCTGAGGGGGGAGGTCCACAGTTTACACATAATTAATAAAAACTACGATATCTTGTAATAGTTGCGTTTCTTTACAGTTCAATTAAAAATAATATGCTCATATAGACATATTATAGTCGTAGGTAGTTGTGTWATATTATATCAGAATAACATTGCTATAAATGTATAATATTTCTATACTTGTTTGTTGTTACTTAACTATGCTGCAGGAAATGTAGGTAAGATACCTATCTGTTTTTTTTTTTGCTCTGGAGTGGAGATCCAGTATCTCAGCCACCCTTCAATACACCACTGTTGATTACAAGGAGTACAAACCATCGTCTTTATTCTATTTCAAAACTATTACTCTAACTGATTAAAAGATTAACTATTGGTGATGATCGTCTTAAGACGGAGATTATACACTTATACTAACAGCATTATTTATTGTCTCCGCCTAGGTGTAACATAGCACATTTTACGCTTAGCAGATTCCGTTTAGCTTCGATAGTTTAAAAACTAGAGTGAATTGACTTCTTATAACATTTAAAGGTAAGATTATTAATTCGAAAACCTCGATTTTTAAGTTTATTTGATTTACATATTTTAAATTGCGTTTAAAAATAGTCAATGGCAGTCAATCATATATAATAACAATATAAATAATTAATGTCTTTAGCTGCTATATTGCTATAAGCTATAATATTATAGTAAAAATACAATAAAAAATAAAATTTCAAAAAATCCAATATACATACAAGTTTCTTTTAAAAATAGTCAATACCTAATAATAATAATAATCATGACATAAGTTACAAATACAAAATATACGTAAAAATGTTAAAATTATTGTATTTGATAATAAGAACATATACAGATTTTAAAAAAGTTAGGGAATCTATTTTTTTTTCTAAAAAAAATTTATTAACATTTATAACAACTTACATACTTCCTACAGGTAACTATAAAGTTAACCCGGGAGAGCTTACACATTTACTTTAGGTAAACATAATACTAACCCGGGAGAGTTTACCATCGRGAGAGTTTAAATTAAATTTTAATTTTAACTATTTTTAAAAATCGGGAGAGTTTACCACCGCCTGGTTGTTGGTGCAGTTCCTATGTCCATATTGTCGGGTGGTGCGAAAAACATACTTAAGTATTAATAATCGTAACCCTTAATATACGTAGTCATTTCGATATCACTAGTATCATAATGATTAACGGTTACGTTTGGTTTTTACACCTATAAATGTATAAAAGTGTTTAAAACGGGTGAGTTCAAGGTCACTTAAATTAGATACTATGGRCGCATTTTAATAGATAAAAATATTTATACCTGAAAACACCGGGYGCAATTTACTATACCCGTAAACCCATTTTACAAATCAAAAAATTCCGAGCGCAATTTACTATGCTATTTTCACTACCTGCTCAACATGGGCACAATAATTTACAATCTCCCAATATTAAAAAGCGTCACCTTTTTTTGTCTGCCTCGTGCTTACGTAGCATATTGTATTGGATTTAATGTTAAATACTCATTATTTACTCAGATGTTAAAAAATAAATAAATATGGCGTCCATATATGTATTTCCATAATCATCAAATGAATAATAATATTGTTCCCTCGTAACTTGTAAGATGTATAAATAAACTACTTACCTATTGTAATCATTATTTTTTATTTGCAGAGGGGTATGAATTGGAAGCAGTAAGCAGATCGCTTATAAAAAAATCGAGAAATAATATTTAACTTTATTCATTTTTAAAAGTTCACATTATTTTTTATAAATTAATATTACATAAAAATGTTTTTTTTAAAGCGTAGTTTAATAATAGATTAATTACAATCGCAATAATTGTGATTTGGGTTATGCCAGCTACTTCAACCRATGATGAAACTTTAATTGGTACGGATTAATATACTATTATGGTATAAATAATTAATTAACTATATATAATTACCTATATTTGTCTTGTATTTTTTTTTTGTGTTGATATTAGTTAGTCAGCAGTGCATTGTTTTAGAATTAATTAAAAAACTGAAATCTATTATTATAATGTTATTATTATCTTATAGAAAAACAAAATATATATACGCCATCTATTCGATTTTACTCATATGCACAATATTGTGATGTAGATAGGTATAAATAAAAAGATTATACTAAATAATATGAAAATAAGTAATTGAATATTATTTTATTATGCTCTTTAGGTACGATTACTTTACTACGTATACCTATTACTATAACCGTATTATTGATATATTCTTACATTATATATTATATTATATTGTATTTGAGCCTTCACGGGCGTTTAAATAAATAAATAATGATGAAAAATTATACACCATATATAGCAGGGATGACGAACCTATGTCACGCGTGTCACGGAGTGACACTCGCGCATTATTTCGGTGACACGCCAATTTAAATATTATTCATAATTTTTACTTCACTTTCCAAAAAAAWTATTGAYAATTTSAAACTATTTTTAACTTATTATTGGAATATATCGTAAGATATTGTAATCTGTAGGTACTTCCCATTCCCTAAGCTCGAAAACGAAACGATTTGATTATCAATAAATTCGTTTATCCCGTTTATCCCGTTTACGTAACAAACGTAGGTACCTACAACAGAACAGTCCACAGTCGTCAACAGATAGTTTCAGATGTCTTACACGACGACTATTTTAACCAACCAATTCAATGTTGCTTCAGGCTTACTCACTATAATAAAATTCACGTTCAACCGTTGGCAGTTTAATGCCGTTTCTAAATTTATAGAATAAAGATGTTCAAAAAATGTAAACTGAATCCAGAAAAAAGTGGTAGTGGGAGATTATTCCACGACAGTGGACAGTGGATTTTGGTGTAATTCAAAACAATAATAAGGTACTATGTTGCTTGTGTAACGAAATTGTTGTAAGCCGTAGTTTCAATTTTAAAAGACATTTCGAGACAGTTCATAATAACATATATTCTCTATCGGCTGAAGAAAAATTAGAATTGATTTMTCAAAAAGTAAAATTGTTTAGAAGTCAATCAAACAAATTTAAAGTGGCGCGTTCAAACAAAATAATAATTTATTAGCCGCTAGTTTTTCTGTGTCGCATTGCATTACGCAGCATGGTAAGCCACTTTCTGACGGAGAAAACTTAAAAGAAGTTTTTGTAAAGGCRTCTAACATTTTGTTTCACAATTTTACTAATAAAAATTAAATAATAAAACGTAGGTAAATGTTTAATTAATTATTTTTTAATAAAAAAAAGAAGGTCTGCAAAGTTTCTGACACGTAAAACAAATAAAATCAAACCAAACATTTTGATTTGACACGCAGTTATCAAAAGGTTCGCCATCCCTGATATATAGGTTATTATTGAGTTTTAAAAAAAGTGTATTTTGGAGAAAAAAACCGCTTTATATTATACTTTGTAATAAATAAAAATAGGTTTTAATATTTATTTAAATCTTGTTGCTATGGGTAACTAAAGTGTTCGAAATAAATATTGACCAGTAATATACATTTTACAAATGTAATTTGCCTCATCAAGCAGTTGTTATAAGTTTGAAAAAGACTATTATATATTATTGCTATCGTAGTTCATACATATATTTAAAATATATTTTAAGTTTTTGTATCAGTATGAATAATATTAATGAAGAAATGAGTGGTTTAGCGGAAACTCCTAACTTATTGACACCACAATCAGATTCCCGGTGCAAAGTAATAGGCCCGAACAACACGTTGCCTGTGAAAGTTACGTCGTGGAAAAAAACCAAGCGTTTTATCCGGCGGTTATTTTGTTTCGCCGGACCCACGACTAAGAGTTCCGGTTCCGAGGACTTAAGCGTTCAGATTGCAGCAGAACCAGTGGTTACTGAAATCGATGCAGTTTCCTGCAGTATGGATGACGCACACCAACCGATGGTAATGGCAATTCAACTCGTTGAAGGCCCGGCTGCCCCCGAGACACCGATGGATTCTAAATTGGACATTATACACGTGAGGTTTTTTATTAATTTTATCTATCTAAATCGAATTCATACGGAATGTACACACATTGACGCTTTACGCGGAAGCGATCATCACAAACCAAAAACAGCATAATATTGTATATAGTTATCTTTATTACAGCCAGAACAGCGCTACATTAACTCCACCACCGCCACCACCTTGCAACAAGCGGCCGAAGTGTTGGAATGCGACCAACAAACGATCAGTAGGGCAACCAACACGGACGCCGCCACCCACATGACATTGCAGGCGGAAATGGTGGAGCAGATGACGCCGACGCAATTACAGTCAGATCCAGCGCTGTGGGCCGCTTATAAACGGGGTTGGGTTGACCGGATGTCCTACAATACAGTGATAAGTGGCGACCCAACGACATCTGTGCGGGATAACTATAGGTCCCGTATCCCCAGATTCGTGAAGCGGCAGGCCGAAACACCGCGGACATCGCCGATACGGCCGTCATCGCGTGCATCATCGGAGCGACCGCCATCCCGTWCGTCGATAATAACTCGACCAATTTCAGTGACGGCCGTCAACCCGCTGGTCAACACGGTAACCACCCCAACTCCGGTCTTCAAGAACTCCCGCCAACGCCGGAACCTAAAGCGGTTGCTGGAATACAGAGAAAAAGTTAGGTTACAAAATTCACAACAATATCGGCTAGAGAAACCACCCACATCCGAAACAACTACCTCCCCAGCCAACACCAGATCTACATTAGCAGGAGGCGACGGACCCAACCCTCTCAGATTCCGTGGTACCGGAGGTAATATTACATCCTCGGACCTCGAGCAACCGGAACCACGGGCCGACCGACAACCGACCACCACCACCCATTCGTCGTACCGGTCGATATTGAGATATCACCGGAAGAGGATTACGGAGTGATGCTTTTTTAAACTGTATTCATAGGTTTTGGTTATAATATGCATATTTTTGATTTAATTGTTTATAGATACAATTTTCTATGTTACGCGTGGCCGCGTGGGTCAGAAATAGGAAAAAAAATACGTCAACATTGATCATATTATAATTTATACAATTTTTATAATTTTTCTATGATTTTTCATTAGCTATAAACAAAATATTAATTCCATTATATTCTTACATTGTATTTTATCTCAAAAATATTATATAATAATAAAATGGGATTAATATTTTGTTTATAGCTAATGAAAAAGCATAGAAAATTATAAAAATTGTATAAATTATAATATGATCAATGTTAACGTATTTTTTTTCCTATTTCTGACCCACACGTAACATAGAAAACTGTATCTATAATCGATTTAATCAAAAAGTTACATATTATAACACCGGATTATAGATGCATATAGGATTTGGCCATACAATCCTCATTTTCGTGCAACACTGTAAGCWTTTTTGCCATCCGTCTATTATCCGGTGTTATAGTATAAAACTTTTCGATTTAAGAAGACGCGACGACCGCTGTGTTGTCTCAGTCTTACAAGTGCATAACATAGCAAATTGTACGCTCAGCAAATCACGTTTAGCTCCGTTAGTTTAACATTTAGAGTTGGTTGACCACTCATAAAAATTAAAGGTAACATTATTATGAAGGGCTTCTCATAGGCTTTTTATTATATTTTAATTTTAAAGCKAGTTATGTGTATTTTAAAATTTAAAATTTTACATATCTATATAATTTCTATATCTTAAAATACACATAACTCGCTTTAAAATTAAAATATAATAAAAAACCCTCCATAATAATGTTACCTTTMATTTTTATGAGTGGTCAACCAACTCTAAATGTTAAATTAACGGAGCTATTAGCTAAACGTGATTTGTTGAGCGTACAATTTGCTATGTTATACACTTGTAAGGCGGAGATAACACATGCGGGTGTCGCGTCCTCTTAAATCGAAAAGTTTTATACTATAACACCGGATTATAGTCGGTTGGCAAAAAGGGCATCGCCCATTTGTGCCAAAAAATCATTAATTCGTTTTGGGTACAGCTCATTCGTGCCAAAATAAAAAAAGTATATTTTTTCTGACAGTCATTTGCGCCATATTTACCTGCGTAAACATTTTAAATTAACGACTTGGTTATGGGCATGGACCAGTTGCGCCTAAAACAATATTTGTATTTTAGGTCAGTATACCAATTACGCTACTTATATTTTAGGTTCCTCATTTTCATATGGACATATGTAAGTTACTACACAGCGGAAAAAGGTACATATGTATATTCACAATTAAATATATTAATATATAGCTCACTAATATTCATTCAAATATACTTAATTTAAAGCAAATCGTATACGAAATTACGGGAAAATTCTATCCCGACTCGACGTAGGGTGAATTATAAAATATTTTATTTATTATTATTAAAAAACATAATATTATAATGTATGAATTTGAGAGATGGAGTACTAGTATAACAAGTTTTCATCATCATTAATGATCTTTATCCACCTATTATTTATCAGCTCCGTTACCCCAGCACTGCCATGTTTGAAATTGAAATTYAAACTTATTTAGTATTATGTACTTTATTTTGTACAATTTTGTACAACCAAAATTAAATTTTGTACACCTCCCCGAACCCGAGAAAACGCGATTTTACCATGTCCGTGCTACGATAAAGTAAGTAGGTATTGCTGTAGGTAAAATAATTATTCACTGCAATAACCAATACTGACATTTAGTTTACAAAATGTATACAATGGTAATTAATGTTATTAAATATATTTTACACTTTTAGAAAATAAATGTTTATTATTTGTTTTCGTTGCTTTTCAATAATATGGTTTATTTATAAGTATAAAAATAAATTGTATTATTGATATTTTTAAAGTGTATATTATTTTAAAACATTTTGTATTAGTCTTGGCTGAGTGATACTGTGTTCTGGGTCGTCGTAAACTTCCCAATAGTTATTTGTTCTCCGAGGAAATTGGTGATTTTTGATAGGTACCTTGTACCAGTTATACCTACTTRAGAGGATGTTTCACCCGCATGTGTTGTTTACGTCTTACAAGTGCGTAACATTGCAAAAACCGTTTYGCGCGAGAAAGAACCGAGAAAGATATAGTTATAACTAAGAAACGAAATTTTTATCACATAAAAAGGAGAATTTTGTCTGTGCAATATCGTTTTTATTTTTTCGATATCAGAACTACAAAAAAAGTTATTCATGCTTAAAAAACGCAAAATTAATGTATTATAAAACAATAAGATTTTTTTGTATAAGTGATATCGAAAAAATAAAAACGATATTGCACACACAAAATTCTCCTTTTTATGTGGTGAAAATTTCGTTTCTTAGTTATACAAATAATATCTTAGTTCAGTTTTCTAGTTATGAGTTACCTACCCGCAGTCTTGTAAAATATACTTTTGATAAATTATTAAAATATTAATACTAGTATTCAAATAAAATAGTATTAAAAATGCTATTWTAAAAATGTATTTTATGAATATTCACTAAGTTTTTGAATACAAAAACAAATATTTTTTTTTCAATTTTATGCTATTATATGTCGTACATGTTATATGTATATTTATTTTATATCAGTAATCAGTATAAGTACCTATATTGTGTTACTACTTACCATAGATTTTAAAAATTAAAAAAAATATATAACTATCCAACTATTTAGAAGTAAATACATGTTCAGATATTTCATTCATATTGATACAATTAGATTACAAAAAATAAAAAGTGGTATTAACTATTAATATGAA